TTGCAATTATGGCTTTATTTTTTGGTGATTTCGAAAACGTTTTTTGGTTTGGACATGTTTCTTTTGTTGCAGTACGGAGTTAGACTGATGGCTTTTAATGTTTAGCTAAGTTTGATGTGTTTTTAGTGTTTTTACCATTTGATGTTGTTTTTGCTGCTTTTATGATTTTATGCAGTGTCTTTGAGCATTCAGAAAAGCGCTCACAAATAAAATGTATTATTATGGCCTTAATCTAAGTTTTCCTGTGGTTGTTGTTGTTGTTTGACTTGCATCCCACTGGGATTTTTTGCACACAGCGTTGGTGTACGGTGCTTTTTCAGGAATATTTTGCTGGTTTTTTTTATGGATTTTCTGTTTGCACGGTCACATAGTCACTTTAAGATGTTTTCTTGTTCGTGTTTTTGTTGTTTGTTGTGGTTGCACCTGATTCAAGAGCCGAATGCCTCACAGGGCTATACCAAAACAAATGAACGTAAATAAATAAATAAAACTAAAAACATCCGGGGAACACACACAAACTAGAATGAGAAGATAAAAACATCATCGGCCTCCATTTACGATATTAAGGACATGTTCATATGCGTCACCGAATGTGGGAAAATTTGCAATGATGGTTAATGGCATGTGATATCAGCGTTCTACAACCTGCCCAGATTGACAAACCATCATCATCATCAGGCATGATCTATCCACTTTTGGATAAAGACCTCCCCAACCCATCCAATGACTATCTCTTGGATGTAAAAATCTATTTAGCTCCTTCACAGAAGCTGATTTTGTCACTCCATCCTCACAGTGGACGTCCTGACGGGCATGTTCCTACCTTCCGCTATTAGCCTCATCTGCCCATCAACATCTCTCCGAGCGACGTGTCCGACACAATGTATGTTGAACTTCTTTCGCACTGTACTTCACCATCCGTTGCTAATCAAAGGTGAGGGGGAAGGACAACAAACTAAACACAAAAAAGCAATCCTGAAGAAATGAGTTTTCAATGTTGATTTAACAGGGCATAGTTCCAATGGCTTCCTAATATTGGAAGGAAGAGCGTTCCAGACGGCTGCAGAAGCGCATCTGAAAGCATGCGATGCGGTGACCACCGTCTTTGTTCGATGGTTAGCCAAAAGCACTGCTGCGAGGTTGACCGGAGTTCGTGTGATGGTTTATGCTCCTTTGACGAGCTCAGCGAGGTATTGTGCTTCATTTGTGGCAAGCACTTTGTGTGTAATGAGCGCGACCTTATAATGTATTCGCTCGGCAAACAGAAGCCAATGCAGCTCATCAAGCACCGGACGGACATGGTCAGGTCTTGCAGTACCCATCAAGACGCATGCCAAAGTAGTTTGTACACGCTGCAGCATGGTAATGTTTTTTTGCCAAACGTCCCGTGAAGTAGTGAGTTGCAATAATCGAGCTTTGTCGATACAGCACAAGCCCGCTTACTATCACTTAATGGTTACGATGATGTCTCTAACTTGCACGCCTTCTCTGATGCACGAGTTGCTCTTTCTGTCTCTCAGTGTAATTCCAAGCATCCACCCTGCTTCTTTGCGTAATTTAAAGTTTTCGTAAAAATTTTCAGCATCGAAATAAATATCACTATGGGTTTCACTCACGTGGCATCACAGATAAGCAGCTTATTAAACGCGTAAAACCATGATACAAATACTGTGGGGAATGCATGTAAAAGTGAGTGTTACTAAGACTGATGAGACAGCAATGGAGAAAAGCAAATGAGATTAATGAATAATTGCTTAAAATAGATACTGGAGAAGGCCTGTAATTCTGCGGAGATAATGTCCCCTGGCGCATCCTTAAAGAAAATGTAACACAAAATCACTCGTGTGTTTGTGGGGAATATAAACCACAAAATAAATTAGTAAACAACGTGCATCTTCCAATATTTGTCTCTCCACTAATTTTTTATTTTTACTCTCCTGTTGGCCAAATGGGCTCCTGGAAGCGAATTTTTTTTCAGTCGCATTGGTTCAAAACAAGCAAACTCTGGATCGCCTTTGACATGCAGTGTCTCATCAGCAGTCATGTTCGGTTAAACCAATGCTATTGACCTACCAGATTACATTTTTTTTGGGCCGCGTTGACAAATGGAAGATAACATTTTTTTTGACGTTTTTGACGTCATGAGAGACATTGCTCGCTGAAGAAAGAATATGGATCAATACAACTGGCAACGACACTCATGGATTGGCTTTGAGGACAGATACTTAGACTGGCAGAGCATACATCGCATGGCAGAGAAATGGCAGAGCATAATTAGATAGAACATTTAAATAAACAGGTTTTTACATGCGGTTTTACAAAGATTTTGGGGTGGAACGGTGGCGCAGTGGTTAGCTGCATTGTGCTATCAAACCAGCGACATGGGTTTGGCTCCTGGCCAGGCCAACATCAGCGGCGAATATCTTAACCAGTTCTAGAAATTACTTTAAATCGCACTGACCAGCATGGCCAAGTATGGTCCAGCAACTCCCATTAACAGCCTTCATCCAGGCGGGGATTTGCGCAAGAGTGCAGAAGTGTGGTCACCACATCTACGCCTCTATGTAAGGAACGAAACAGGTGGACTTCTCCACAAATCTGGCTGTCGCCTGATGAAGCTGGTTGTAATTACTGGCGAAACGTCGTACTCGGATTGTAAATGTTGTGGCTTGGCTCCCCAACGCACCGGTTAGTGCTGTGCTTGTGACGAATTGGCCACGTTCTGTTTACGTGACAACCCTTACTAGTTGGCTGTGTCGGGTGGTGGCGGGTTTTAAGGACACATTTATACATTTACGCTGATCGAACCCAAAAATACTATATTATGGATGATATTGGTCGCAAAAACCTACGTGTTAAACAGGTTTAAAACAATACACTTGAAACACGTGTGGGAAATATATCTCGATGAACATCACAGTATTCTCTATTCTCTAACGGCTTGGAGCAATTCGGAAAGAATAATTAAGTGAAAGTGTCTGTGACTCAAGTAGCTAAACTCAGACATGAATGAACAAAGAATGACCTCATCAGAAAACGCATGACAAATATGCAACAAGAGCAAAATAAGTTGCACTATACAGGAATCCAATGGGCATCAAGTGAGTAATTTATTTTGAAATATGCCATGCACGTCTGATGAGGTTTAAATGATAACCTTTGTTGATTTGAGCAAAACATTTTACCAAGAATAGTGCCACTTCGTGGGAGCTGCAAGTCTAGTTCTCGGTATTCTAGTTGGCTATGTTTTAACAGTTCAAGCTTGTTGTACGCATTAACGATAGTTGTTCTCACCAGCACGTCTGTCACCTTGGTTTGTTGAAGGCGCATTTAGGAGTTGGTAATATAGCTGCTAGTGCTTTACAACGGAAGAAAAATTTGCGTCGCCTTTTTCAGCTGTGAAAATATATAGTACTTTAAACCATAACCACAGAAATGACGACTCCTGCATAGTGATTCATTAAAGCCTCCCTCAAACAGAATTCTAAACTGTAACAAAATAAAATAATAATTAATTTTAGCCACTAATACATATCATAGCATCAACAAATATGAGTCATGAATTAATACGAGTGCACTGTATGCGATAAACCGAATTAAAACTCGTTTCGCTGGTGGACGGCCGCACAACACAGACTAAATAAGCAATTGCTCATCGTTCAGCTAATTCAGACATTGTTCTGATATCGCGCCCCAAGCATCCGCGCGTATCAACGCTTTCTTCGCATCATTCACAACACGCTTTTTATTTTACTCGTGCATAATCACCGCGTTCCAAGTCACTGATTGTAGATGCTTTTTTTTCTTTCCTCGAGGCTGGCGGCTCCCCGCGCGAAATTCCCGAGATCGTGCTCGGGCGCCACTTTCCCGATCGCGCCGCTGCCCCCCCTGTGAGCAGTAAGCAGTCGTAGTCGCCGGGAGGGGAAATGGCGACTAAGAATTGCCCCCCAAGCAACGGATACGAGCCAGGCGCAATTTACTGTGAAGAGGACGCCAACGCGGTGCGTGATGATTGCTGAAAGGTGACGCTGTAACCCTCTAGGCTTAATGTCGCAAATTAGTAATTGTTTACGTAAGCGGGCAGCACAGTGGTGACGTGTTGCAGCCTACGCATACATAACTTGCTACTGTGCTTTTGAGCGCGCATGTAGAAGAAGAACTCTCCGCGTATGACTCCATCGGCCTATTGGCTCTCCGCACCGATATTACTGAGCAGAATATATGTATTTTTGTTAAAATCCAAAAATCTCTGGACCGTTTTAAACCTTATGAGTCTCATCAGGCTTGGGTCTCGTCATCAAGTAGTTTTACTCATGCGTGCGTGCGTACGACTCCAAATCTTGTTCAGTCCATCGGCCCTATTGGCTCTCCACACTGATATTATCGAACAGTTTTTTTTTTTTTAATCCAGAAACCTCTGGACCGGTTTTAACCTTCTGGATATCATCAGGCTTGGGTCTCATCACGCTTGTTAAACAAATGCTGCCGGATTACCAAATGTTATTGGCAAGAGCACTCTGGATCATTTGCTTATCGGAGGCACTGAAGTGTTGTTGACCGCTACAAATTCAATAACATAAATGCCACGTGGGGATATGAATCAGCAATCACACATTGTAAAGCTAACAACAGAGGCACAAACGATGCCCACTGTTCAAATATGTCAGTAATTAAAACTACCACTTTAAAATATCCTTCATTTATTGTTGGTATTCTGACCCAACATGAACTCCCAGAGTGGAATGCTTTTACGCATATGGCGAGTAACACACTACAAAATAATTCATTTTCTTATAGTTTAGCTGATGCCAATATACTGATGTCCTTGTTTTGCCTGCGCTTAGTTCGTTGTCCTTCCCCCGCGCCTCTGATTCGCACCGTTGGCTACGTACAGTGCGAAACAAGTTCAATATACATGCATGCGATGCTGAATTATCATGGAACTGTGGGGACGCTTTGTCTTACACTGGTAACGTGTGTGGTGCCTCGTGTGCACTTACTGGAAAATATCTTTGCGAATAACGATCCTGGTGAGCGGGTTATCTGCCACAGGCGCCAGGCTGATGGATCCTATTTTCAACACAAGCGTGTCTTCCTTGGGAGCAGAGGTGCCTATGGAAAAATAGCAATTAGTCACGTTAGTAGAATTACAAAATATCATATCGATAAGCCCAATATTACAATGAAAAGCATAGGCCTACAGAAAACAATTTTCCAGTCATCCTCGCAGCGGCTTTTGGCTAACCATCGAACAAAGATGATCACCGCATCACGCGCTTTCAGATGCGCTTCTGTCACCATTTAGAACGCTCTTCCTATATTAGGAAGCCACTGGAGCTATGCACTTTGAAATCTAAATTGTAAATTTAATTCTTTAGAACTGCTTTTTGTGCTTAGTTTATCATCCTTCCCCCGCACCTCCGATTATCACGGTTGGCTACGTACGGCGCGAAAGAAGTTCAACAAACATGCAAACGTACTTGTGGCCGGCTGCTGCTGCTGCTGCTGCTTGCCCTCGCTCTGCGGCACGAACACGCGAATGACGCTCGTGTTGAGGTAGAGCAGGGGGAGCCCGCGGGACGACAGCGCGTGCTGCTTCACGGGCTGCCCGACGGCGGAGCCCGCCGGCGCCGCTCGCTTGCCGGCGGCCGGGGAGCGCCGGGCGGCTTCGCCGCCGCCGCCGCCCGCGTCCAGCAGCGACGCGACGGCGCGCAGCAGCGGGTAGTGCAGCACCAGGTCGAAGGGCTGCAGGCTGACGAGCACCTCGTGCAGGTGCGAGGGCCCAGTGTCCGGAGCGTCGCCGCGGTGAAGGCTGCGCGACACGCGCTCCTGGCGCGACGAGATGCGCTGGCGCACGTTGCGCGTGAGCGCCCGCGTGTACGTGAGCGACAGGAAGCCGTGCTGCTGCTGCTGCTGCTGCGAGGTCTCCAGCAGCTTGCCCGCCGTCTACGCCAAAAGGAAAAAGGAGAAAAAAATGGGTCAATGCGCCCAACGTCGCTTTATGCGTCCATGTGCATCCCGTCCTGTCCGTGTGCATCCCGTCCTGTCCGTGTGCGTCCCGTCCTGTCCGTGTGCGTCCTGTCCGTGTACTTCCCGTCCTGTCCATGTGTCCTGTCGCGTCCGTGTGCGTCCCGTCGCGTCTGCAGCATTTTCACCACAACCAATATGAAGTCTGTACATGCGGAGGGAATTGGCGAATGCGCAACGGTGGACCGTATTGGGTGACGGGAATTGGCAATGGGAAAATCCCTTCTCATCTCTAAATATTTACGTGCCGAGAAGGGCAGCGAGGCCGAGAAGGGGTAGAAACTCCAAGGTAATAGTATCTAAGGAGCTCAACTAAAACTCGGTCAGTGTGGGTTGGTAAAGGAGGGGGCCCAGAACCAGCTCTGATATTACTCGCCACCGACTGGTGCGCTGTCGTCAGCAATGAATGCGTTCATAGCGCAGTGCGCTGAACACTGTGCCACCACTCCTACCAGTATTACACAAGTGTCGCGACGCAAATGAGCAACTTATAGCCAGAAGACGATGACCGTTAGTTTAATGAGTTATTGAAATGCAGTGCCTTGCTTGCGCTAGATTAATACAAAAATAGAAGCATAGATTACGCTTGTGATCAAATAAATAGCGGCAAATATGCTGGCTGCTAAAGATGCCGGGAGTAATATTGTTAATAACTAGCAGCATTTCACCAGTATAATTTTAAGTGTCTGATGAAAGACGAGTAGCTTCATAGTGTTTTTGTTGTTGTTGCAAATATGGACTAAAATTAGAATTACACTCGACCGCTTATAAATGGTACCTGAACACAGATAACGTGCGATTCATCCAGGACAATTGGGGTGGCCAAGATAAATTGAATTAAGAGAAGGGTGGACAAGAAAAAAACAAAATATAGATTACGCAAAACGTCCGTAAATTAGGCAATAAAAATACCGGTATTGTTTGCCTACGCAGAAAGGGGGCAATATGTACCGAGTCACTGTCCCTTAACGAGTGAAGAGCAGCTAGTAATTGGAGTAATTAAATCTGCCCTTGTAAATATATCGTAACAGCAACCCGGACCATGCCCCCCCCCCCTCTCCCCCGAAGGATAATCGAGAGTTAAGCGTGAACATGAATCTGTCTCCGCTAAATCAAGCTGAAACTGCCCGCACCGTGCGTGCTCATTATTGGATGCGAACAATGAAATGCGGAAAAAGCCACCGCCACCACGGCCATCACCACGAGGAAGAACAACAACGACACGAATCAAGAAGGTGCTTAGAGGCGGAAGATTTGGTCCCTTACGGAAGGAAAGAAGGCAGAGAGGTGGCTGAAGGGGTCTTGCCTGGAGAGCGGCCTCACCAGGAAAGTGCGTCTGTTCAGCTTGTCAGTGCATGACAAGATGACCCCTCCCCGCCCACCCAGGCACATGGGCCCTCCGGGCAGGCTGAGCGGCACGCGTAAGAGAGACAGACAGACGGACGGACGGACGGACAGACGGACACAGACGGCGGGGCAGGCACAAGAACAGGTGAGAAACAGACCCCCCTCAAAAGGAGAGAAGCCTCGGAGCAATGGGATCACCGACAATCACAAAGCGTGGATCGAGAGCCCCCAGCACGGTTGGCGGGATTTTGTTACGATCACCCCCCCCCCCACCACCACACCGCCCACCGATCGCTCTCGGGCACGGCGAGGCGTCGCCGCTCGCCCAGCGAACACCTGAAACCGGAGACGTTCGTCACGAGCGAGGGAGCGCGAGCGAACACCGCCAAGCGCAAGAAAAAAAGGAAGGAATATCACAAGCAGCACCGGACGATTCTCCCCGAGTGATTTCCGTTGAGATTGGCTGAAATATTAGGGTTTTTTTTACGTAAGAGCACCGGGGGGGGGGGGGGGTGTGTGGAGGCAGACGCTGGCAAAGATGTTCGCAAAACCAGAGGAGCTGACGGCAAACGGGCTCTCTTAAAAGCTGCGCGGCTTTTGAGTGATGAAGGTGGGTGCAGGGGGCGCATTTGGCAGATTCTGTAACAGGAGCCTGGCTCAGTAATGGTGATGGAAGGACAAATGAGCACACGTGTGGTTTGGCCCTACTGAGTACAACTTTGCCTCCCCTGTAAGCCACCCGCAAGCTCGGAAAACAACATACCACTGGGACTCAGCAGCTTCAACTTTGAAATGTTTAATTATGCATACGTAGGTGTTGTGTTACTATATTAATAGGACAATTGGGCATATAAATTTACATGCTTTTTCCCCTCCCTTCCCACTGCCCCCCCCCCCTTCTTTTCAGTATCAGTAGCTCGGTATTTAAATTTGTTTGCATCCGTTATGTAAAATTAAAGCATTCATGTGGTATATTGTGTGTCCAAAACTTGTCTTCTGTACTTATTAATAATGATCATAGCATGGGAAATGAAAGACTATCTGCTTAAATTAACTGGTGACTTCATCTTTTTTAAACTTTCTTGGTTTATGGGTCATGAATTATGTGACCAAGGCTTCAGGAAAATGGCAATTTTCTCCAAATACTGCACTGAGCCACCTTAATCATTTTTCCTCATTATTTATGCCTCTCCTCTCCCTAGGCTGTCTAATTGGCCTTCCTGTAATATTAATGGCATGTGCTTCTTGAAATCGAGCCAAGCACACAACGTTAGCATGCCTCCACACACACAGACCGGCGAACAGACGCACATTCATGTACAAACGCACGCACGCACACGGATCTGAAAGGGCGGCCTTGCAGGCTGCTGAGGAAAAACACTAGGAAGGAAAAACAGACCCCCAAAGGAAAATAAAAAGCAATCAGAAACAGTTTGCCGGGGGCTCCACTTTCTCATTCTCACCACTGGCTTGTCTTTACATAGCAGCAGAAGTCCATCAAAGTGTCCTTCCCTCCACAGTTCATCCGGCCTGGAAAAACGAAAATGTCACCCCGTCCGCGGCCCCACGGGCAAAAGCCATCGCCGTGAGCCCCAAACAACCGAGGTATGGGGACAGGTGGGCAGTCACGCGCCCGCCAAGAGATTCTCCCGCGTGGAATCGACGCACGGGTGTGACACGCGTCAGCGTCGCGCTAAACGAGTGCGGCACTTCACGCGCGCAGGTGTGCGCGGTTGTGTCCTCGCCTGCTTGAGCATGAACAAGTTTGTTTAAGTAAAGAAACTGTACGGCTGCCGTGTGTATTCACGCGTGAATTTACTGAAATGCAGAAGGGATTTTTTTTCAGTACAGGGGTTATTTTACATACACACACACACACATATATACATACATATTCCACGCTAATATTGCACGTTCCTATTCCAAATAATTGTACTTTGGACATCTCCTTGCATAATGATGGGGGGGGGGGGAGGGGGGGTTGGGGGGGAGAAATCCAGACATGAATGTATGCCCAGTAAAACGTAAAGCAAGACTCCCAGGACTGAACAGCTGCCACGAGATGAAGCCAATTTGCCCTGAGACCAAGGTTAATTGCCCCCAAAAATTAAAGCCTCCTGGGGATGCATACATTTTTTTTTTTAAACCAAAGCATTTAAAAAGAAAAAAGAACCCTGCCTGCCCACAACGTCTGCTGACAACTTACACTCTCCAGTTAACGGGCCCGATTTAATTTCTGGGCTCTCTCTCGGCGATATGAATTGCGCTCGAGCGTATGAGCGACATGACTTTAATGAATTGCTGAAACTCCGCCGTTGCCGTTCAGACGGCCGCGGCCGCATTGTTCTTTGGCGAGCTCGAGGACTGGCCGCTGAGCAATGCTTCCCGTCTGCTTCAGCTGCCGACAAACGCCCCCCCCCCCCCGCCCGCCCGCACTCGCCGATGGGTTTGGGATGTAACGCGAGGCTCCTAATCACGCTGCTTGTTAAGTAATGGGTGTCAAGGGGGGTGCTGGATCCAGACGCCCCCCCCCCCCACCACCCTCTTTAGTTGCGCACGGGAGATCCGGTTCCCCGGCATGTGCGAGGCGCAAGCCGCGGTCACAATTAACTTATCAAGACAAGGGGTTTTACCTTGCCACCCGTCGAACCTTCAGAAATTAAAATGACAAGCTAATTGTTTCGTGTCAAAAAATGCAAATGGATAAAAAAAAGTAAAACCGTGAAGTTTGATATTTCTTGCTCTTTTAGGAATTAGCGGGCCGTAGATTCTGTTACCTGTTTTGATTCCATGCGCGAACTATTTTAATTCAGCGTGGGGGATGTGTCAAAATAGCTCATGTGGCTTAGCAAAGAAAACATCAATATCCCATTCCTATCACGATTTCCTTTTCCTGACTTAATTATTTCACATAAAATTTCACATTTTCGTACCCGAATGCCTTCCATGTGAAAGAAAGCCCACTGTGCAGCAACTAAATATTACTGCAATTATAATTTAAACGTTCTGGCAACAGAACCAAATATAATTTCAGCGTTTAACCGTCTATCCTGCTCTGACCCACATCTTCCTGTTGTACGTGCTGTGGATCAACTTACACGTCAGCCATTTCATAAGTTTGAATAATATTCTTGGTTCTTTCGGTAAAGTCACGTAGAAGGGAAACAATAAAATAATAGAAATATTAAACAATAAAATGCTCACGACGTTTCGACTGCAACACAAGCAATCATCATCAGGTGTGAAAACCACAGCAAGAAAATTTGATGATTGCTCGTGTTGCAGTCGAAACGTCGTGAGAATTTTATTGTTTTATATTTTTATTATTATTGTATTGTTTCCCTTCTACGTGACTTTACCGAAAGAACCAAGAATATGAATCCCTGCAGTCACGAAAGCTTTAAATCAAAAGTTTGAATAAGTTACATTTTATGCATTATCAGGAACGTACTCAAACAGTAACAACGAAGGCCTATGGCAATACGGACCATTTTGTTGCCGTAAGGTCTGTTCACATTTACAGCCCTTTTCAGGATGATAGCTTTAAGTCAGGAGTCACATTTGGCCAACTGTAAGACCCCCTGAATGGCTTTCCGCACATTCTGAAAACTCATTCAGTGAGACAACTTCTGGAATGTATGAAAAAATCTTAAAATTAGTCCATCATCCGTTCATAATATTGCATCAATTAAGCACACATATCCTCTCTACTATATTTAAGATTGTCTCTCTGTAAACCTCGATATTTCCTGAAGGCCAGTCGGCTGAAACAACTCAATCTTGTTTTACTGTCAGAGACAGAAACACCAAACCGCGTTTTAATTTATGGCTGCCTTTGTCCATTCACTGCTAGATGAAGGACTCTCCATGCCTCATGGTCACTGAAGTTGTTTGATCGCACTTCACCACAATGGTCAGTGCAGTTTGGTGAACAGGGCGGGAGGGATGGACCAGAACTGGCTCACGCATCATTCGTCACTGACGTTAGCCATGACCACGACTCGAACTTAGGTCACCAGACTAAGCGCAGTGCACTATTCAAGGCGCCACCACTTATGGTCCTATTCACCCTTTCCCACTCAGAGACATCTGCAAGTTGCAGGGTGGGTCCCGTCACCGCTGAACCTCGGGACTGATAAATGGTTAGGATTAATCTTATTTAGAAAGTCATATCACCGTTTTTTTTTAGACATTGTACTCACCGCAGAGAACTGTAGCGACACGACCGCACTCTATGATAGCGGGTACCAAACTGTGCCACACGCCCTCCCGCATGGCCTTGTGGGAGCCATGGTACGAATAATGTTTTTCTTATGGAATCGGAAGAAAAACTAACATGGGCGTACGTCATCGGAATGGGTTAACCTACGTTCATCCACACTTTCGGCACAAACGCAGCACGCGGAGGAGCAGTTGAAGACACGGCACCCACCTTTGGCGAAAGTGGTCTACGTTGAAGTTTCCGATCTTGCACTTCACCTTGGTGTAGATGTCCTGAATGTCCACTGAGGCACTGAGCTCCTCAAGCTCTCCAACCACACAGAGCTCTGTGAACGCGCACATGGCAGGGCAACGCGAACTCCTCGCACATGGGGCAACGGAGCTCACCACCCCCATCGGCGCAGGATGGCCAGCAAAAGGCACGGGCTCAGCGTTGCTTGCCTCGACCCGCACGTGTCCTCCAAAGTACGACAATTTTTAGCGCCATAGCGTGAAACGCGTTTTTAAAGTTGCCCTTAAAATCCGGAGACTCTCTGTTGCTTTCAAAAATTGCGTGTGAATGTCAACGTAACGCATTCACTGCGTCCTGCGACTTTCCAAAGGCTTCTCTCATATGCTGACATCGGGGGCACGGAAATGTGCATCGCATTTTACAGAGTTTTGTTTAGAAATAAAAAGTCCAAACGGGTGTGAAAAGCATTGATGTTCCGAGTCTGCCGACACAATGGAGTGCATCTGTACATTTCATTGTTGTAATGCCTCTTACATTAAGTAGCTAAATTCAATGCACGTGCTTGCGTGACTGCGTAATGTCTCAAATTGTGTTTGTTTTCCTTTGCTCCCATTGAAATATTGCTTTTTACGTTGTTTTTTTTCCTTCACAGGGATTTCAGAAAGCGGCGGTGATGTTTGCAAAATGTTAATTTATTTATCTAATCCCAAAAAAAAAATTCGCCAGGATGCACGGCTGAGATGTCACTCTCAATTTGCATCGAAGCTGGGGAGGGGCACGGGCAGAGTGAGCCCGGACGTATTGAGCAATTCTTAGGAGCCCAACAACTCCCTGCATTCAAACGCAATCACGTGACACCTCCAGCCTTCTTCCCCCCCCCCGCCCACCGTCCTCTCACCCGCTCAGGGCTGTGCACAGGACACGGAATATAGGGGCTCGCAGTCCTTCCGTGGGGATGTTAAACCGTCCGCCCCGTGCCTTAGCAAACCCTAACCCTTTCCGAGACACCCTTCTCAAGGGTCAGTAGTGGTGTTCCATTATGGAAGCCAAATTAACCACGTGTTGTAAATCACAATCACACATACACGAAGCGGGCGGGGCGGGGGGAAACAGAACACACACGGCCTCCTTTTCTAAAGTAAGCTTATTCGCTAAACAGAGCCATCCCACACCATGACATTTAATGCCTGCGTTGGTGCGCTCAATTAAGCGGTACGCTTGGGAAGCGTGCGCCTTGGTCCCAGGCCTGCCCTTGTTTGCGTTCTCGTTGCAGATTCAGCAATAACAAATCGCCAATCGACGCAAACAGACATCACGCTCACATTACGGCCCACACACTACTTCTGCATGGAATTCCAAGGCATATTCGGAAAAATCTCTGACCGGCCTACAGTTTTCATTGCCGGTATCCATTTTGTTTTTTTGTTTTTGTTCTTTTACAAAAGGAAAAGGTGCAGCCGTGCAATATTCTTGCTCGCACCACTGTTGGCGGGGGGCCTCAACGTGAGTCAACTCTAGAGAGTGCCTCTAGAGGGCGTTTGGCCTCTTCTTCCACATTGGCAAGGCTTTTCGGAATAGATGGGAGTACCCAACAAATTAGCCCAGCATACACGGAGTGCCAATCGACGAACTCCGGTGAACCCATTCACACTTTTTCGGGTGGACAGAGACGGGGAGGATGTAAAAGACTTGACCACCGTTTCAACGGCCCGCACCAGGAGGTCGAACCCGCGACCCCTGCATCGCGAGCCTAAGGTGCTAGCCATTGCACCGGAGCAGCATCACTTATTTTCGTAGACCCTCTTTAGAACGTATTAATTCCCCGCCGTATTATTTCTGGCTCAGCCCAGTCCTCGTTGCGTTAGCCGGCGTGTGCTTAGGTGCAAGCGTGCGTGCCGCGCGGACGGTGTCTGTACCGGCGGCAGCCACGCAGTCCGTGCCGTCGCGCTCATTGGCAAAGAGCCGCACGGTGAGCTTGGGGAGCATGCACTGCAGCCACACGCTGGCGCGGCTCCCACTGCCGCCCATGTGGCTCGTCTTCTGCTCCAGCGTGTCTGTGCCGCCAAACGCCGCGTCCTCGCCCGTCTGAGTGGTGTCGCCCTGCGTGGTGCAACAGTCGCACATGTGAATGCGTGTATGTTGACGGCCGTGCTCATCGTAGGTGCGCGGGGGGAAGGACAACAAACTAAATACAAAAAGCAGCTAGAAATAAATTAGTTTTCAATGTTGATTTAAAAGTGCATAGCTCTAATGGCTGCCTAATATAAGAAGGAAGAGCGTTCCAGACGGCCGCAGAAGCGCATCTGAAAGCGTGCAATGCGGTGACCGTCTTACTTAGATGGTTAGCCAAAAGCTGCTGCTTCGAGGATGACGGAGTTCGAAAGAAATGAGTTTTCTGCCCGTCACTCACGAAGTGGGGAACAAGGCATGGTGGACAGCGGAGGTGGGAGGCGTAAATATTCTGGACCCTTTCGAGTAAACGATTTGCCGCATTTTCAGTGTGACAATTTGATTCAAGAATCCATTTTAGTTATTTACCTTGTGGTTGAAAAGAAACGTATTCGGTGGCTGGAGGGAGTCACTCAAGGCCGTCATGATAAGATGCAAAATATACGCATTTATAGGCATCGATTCTGACAAACGGGAAGGCCAAGAATTTATTTATAACTTGATGCACCGTTACACCACCATTACACCACAAGTGGTTACCTCTCCATTGTCAACAGAAAAGGAGAAAGCTTGCTATGAGAAAGGAATTTTGGAATCTGGTCATGATGAAAAGATTATAAGGCATGCAAGGAAGCATCGATTCATTGTTTAAAATCGATTCATAAACCACGATACAAGAATTGAACTCTCTAATTTCTAATTTATGTTAATGACAATCTCATGGCATTTCGTTTAACCCCATGTTACAATTCGGCCAAGGGAGCGAATTAAACTTCAGAGACAGAACGACGCGATGAACATTACAGACGAGGCGGTAACAAATGAGACAACAACAGAAAAGGCTCAATTATAATTAATCAAATTATAATTAATCAAATGGCATTCCTTAATCGTCAAAACATTTCATCGAATCGTGGGTAGGAAAGGGTGGGGGAGGGTTCAATATTTCGTGGGAACTTTTTTTTACTATTATTAAAGAGTTAACCATAGACATTACAAATACCAAAAAAAAGTTGACAAGCCACGAGTGTGTAACACACACACGTGGCTTGTTAGTTGCTTATCTGTTTCTAGAAGCGTGCTAAACGAGCGTGTCTCATCCCGTTTTTTTTTTTTAAATCTAGAACTGCCCGACAGTGGGGAATGGTCACTCGCTCACCTCCAACGTGCAAACTCCTGGGGGGCTCTAAGCAGGGTGGGGGGGGGGGGGGGGGGACAGACAAGGTGTGCGCTAAAGTCGCTGGAGAAAAAAAAAAAAAACCTTGATCCGTAAACGTCCCCAGCTTGGATGACTTGACAGCAGTTAACGAGAGCGAGAGCGGAGGGAGGGGGAGGGGAGGGGGGGGGCGACCGCACGTTTGGCAACCATGGTCTGATCACAACAAAGTGTGCGGCGCATGGGAAACCAGTTTTTTTTTTTCGCAATGGGAGTTAACCTCGCATGCAAGACACGCTTTGCCCGAGCGCAGCCCCCTTGGACAAAACCAGCCTGACATCACCAGCCCCCGCGAGCCATCGCGGGGGCTGACACGCAGGGGGCCTGGGCCATGCGGTTTGTGTGCGGTCGACTCACTTGGCAGCAATGCAAATTTGTGAGTACACAATCGTAAACAACACTCGCAACGCTTAGCGTTGCTACCAATGGAGGACGGTAAGCGCTATCAAGCTGAATGACGATACAGGGCCCTATACATGTCAGATGCCTTCCCGTCTGTCAGCTGTGTACATGAGCTAAAATGTTTTCGTTTTCGGTTTATGGCCAGCATCGTTGGTGGTCTTTACCGAGACCCAATAGCCAACAATTTATCATGAAAAAATTTATTCAATGTTTCAATTTGACAACTACACATTCTGATATACGATGAAGTCATACATTTAAAAAAAAAAATGATATGTTTTAGGTTTAACACAAACCAAAAAAATATTGCCGACTTTCATTTTTTGGAGATATGGAGCCAAACTTTGGCTGACCACTGGCTTTTAGAATCATGTGTTTAACAATTGATCCTCCATGATGAAGGAAACACTGACACAACTCTTTACCTCAAGCAGCTGTGGCTACGTTGCCCAATCAAACCCAATGCAGCTTTTTTACAATCACACATTTGCTGATCACACACTGAAGTCAGAACGCTGGCTCACAAGGGCTAGTTCCTAAAATTGGTACGGAGACAGCAAAGCGATGCTTGGCAGAGGCATTCTAGAGTCTACATGCACTTTCGTTCTTGATTAAAAAAAAATATATCACACTTAGAAATCAAACAAAATCTAAATTGACAGCCAACTTCAGAGGGATCAACATCCTCACTTTTAGTTTAGGAGGCCACCACGTGACGACCAGGGGAGCGGTGGCGCGGCAGTTAAAGCACGGTGCTATGAGCCCGGGAACCTGAGTTTGATTCCATTGCCTTGGCCAACATCGGTGGCGAGTGAAGTCTCAACGTGCCCCTGCACTCACCAAGGTGATGACGAAGTGAGAACAAACAACCACCCCGCTGTAGTCGAAACACCACAGGGAGGCCTCTATCCAGCAGGAGTGTGACGAAGGGCTGCACGTTCCCACGTGACGTAATGAAACAAAGCGCGTTGATTTACGGCTCCGTGTGGCAGGATTAGAGCGCCGTTGCATGCAATCGGAATGTTGCAAGTGAAAATTAAGGTCGGGGGTCAATTCAGCTCTTTAGCCGCCCGGGATCGATCAAACGAGGTACCACTTTAGTGGGGGCAGGAGGGGGGGGGGGGAATGTCACGATTGTTGTTCTATGGAAAGACTCGGCCCTGCCACAGGAATGTGGGATTTTCACTTTTGGCTCAGGGCTGTGAACGGGACATTGGTGCCGTCCCTTGCTCAATTGAGCGGAGAAAAATATTTAACAAAAAAAAAACCCCATACAAAAGAATGTTCCTATGTACAAAAGTCCATTGCCTAAACTCTGATAAATATGCTGTAAATGTGTTGCAAATGTAGCCTTATCTATGTTGGCACGGCTGCTGTGAGTGTAGTCGAATTCAGAGCCAGACAGTGACAGGAAAGCCCTTACTCGAGTGCTAATGCAATTCCGGTGATTCCGATGCTCTCTTTAAATAAGCTAACCGAGTTACCGGCAAATTGCTTGAGAAAGTGCAATTTGCGGGCATTCTACCAACAAAGAAAGTAGCTGAGACTTTGAACTTCCAAAAATTAAATTACATCGGTCCAAATCGCATTGGTGGTCTCGGTGCACTTTCGTGTTTATAAGATTATGTGTGGCAACACATTTTCTAATTTAAACCAATTACATTACGCTTTGTAGAAACTAATTAAGAGTTTCTAAACTGAAAGCCCATTACGTTTAAACGGCATTTGCGAAATGAAATCGTCAAGCCTATTTCATATGATTCAGCGTCTTCACGATATCTCAAAAGCCGTGGGGAAAAAATGGCCAAGGGTCCAGGTATGAATCGAACATTTGAGAAGGCAACTGGCCACTATTTGAACACACCATGTAGGATGGACAACAACAGGGAAATTAAAAGTGTGTTGTTGTTCGGGGAAAAAAAATGGAAGGAACTGGAAAGAGAGGAAGACCTCCCGGAGAATGGCATGGTGACGCCGCAAGAGATTGGTGCCAGAAAGACGTGCCAAAACTTGAGCATATTGGCACAAGGCAGAGGAAAGTGGAAACATTACGAAATGTGCAGAGGGCACCTACGGGCTATCTGTTTGTATGTGTGTACGTTGAACTTCTTTCGCACCGTACGTGGCCAACAGCGATAATCGGAGGTGCGGGGGAAGGACAACAAACTAACGCGAACTGAATTTTGATTTAAAGCTTTCGTGACTGCAGTAATTCATATTCTTAGTTTTTTCGGTAAAGTCACGTTGAAAAAACTAAGAATATAACGCGAACTGCTTTTCTATTTAGTTTGTTGCCCTTCCCCCACACCTCCAAACAGCACGGCTGGCTAGTACGGCGCGACAGAAGTTCAGCAGCTTTATTTGATGACGACAACGATGACGACAACGATGACGACGGCCGGTTTCACCTCGGTGGTCGTGCAGACGTCCGCCGAGGGGCTGCAGGAGCTGGCGTCGCCCTGCGCGTTGCTGACGCTGCTGCGGATAGGCGAGCCCGGTGCCATCTGCGTCGCGGCCACGTCGGGCGAGACGGAGGTGCGCCGCAGCAGCACCGCCTCCCTCCGCTGCAGCCGGCGCGCCGTCCTCCCCATGAGGTCGCTCAGCTCCCACAGGAGCCGCAGCTGTGGGCCAGACCGCGTTCACGTTCGCAAAGCGCGGACGAGCGGCGGGTTTTGGCAAAACGTCGATCGCACCTCCGAGAAATAGCAACGTCGGCTACGTGCGGCGCAGAAGTTCAACATACGTGCATACGTACATCGCAGAGGGAAGCGTCACAACACGAAGTTAAACTGCATTGCAAATGTTTTAGAGATAGCGCACTTCATTCAAAAGCTTCTACACACCTCGAGGCAAATCTCAATTTAATTGTCAAATATATTAGCTCTCCTAATTGTAATGATATGGTGCTACTGCCTTCACAAACCTGTTGGGAAGAACCCACCGAAAAGTAAGCAGACCATTAGCTGTGCATGGATCACCCTGTACTTGTATATACATTAAAAAAACGTGTTTAAACCAATTCATAATGGGCTGTTGCGAAGCGCTGATTTTAATAGTAGTATATTTTTTGGTGAGCGGTGGCACAGTGGGTTAGTGCACTGCTCGATGAGCCTGGCGACCTGGGTTCGGGTTTATAGCCATGGCTAACATCAGTGGCGAGTGATAGCTCAACCGATCCTGGGTCATCGATACCCCTTTCACCAACCCACACCAAACAGCAAGGCGAAGTATTTTCCAACAATCCCGAAGACCGACACAGCGTCGGGGGGCCTTGGTCCAGCAGCGGATTGAAAAGGGGGGGGGGGGGAGGGCTTTAAAGTCTTTAACATCGTTTCTTAGACGTCCCGGTAGCATTCTGAAATGCGACGCAGAAGTTAGTCATTTAACCTCCATTTATCACGTCCACGCTGCACTTGCGTTCCATTTGAAAATGCGCACGCGGTAGTTGTGCATTTAAAAAAAAATGTTTTGGAGATGCAAGTTTGGGAAAAAAAATGCGAGCTGTTTAGTGCCAACAAGTCTGACTGAGGGTTGGTGCAATTTCATTTACAATTCATGCCACATTTAACCTTTCCCCGACCTAAACTCCAGTCTCTTGAGCCCTTTTAAAATTGCGGTCAAATGCAGGTTTTAAACACGGCGGCCAAATTCCTATATTTTTTATTGCACTTACAAAAATGTCAGGAAATAAAAAAAATATAACCCACACAAGTCAGTATTATAATACAACCTGCATGAGAGTTTAATGTCCCCGGAATTATTAACAAATTCTAAAAGCTTACCGTTTTAATATGGTGCAAAGTGAAACGCAAAGCACATCATAGGAAACTATGCGCAGAAGAGTTAGGAGGCATGTTCTGCGCTGGCATGCGCTGTGAAAATTAAGTAGGCCACGTTTTAAACGGCTTAGCAGGCATTCATCATGTACTTCAACATGGGTGGTTCTCTCCCTACATGTGTGACGAATGTAGCACCAATGCTTCCCCGGCACGAGGCGACATCCAATGGGGAGTGAGCTGGCGAGTGGAGGGTGAGCGCACCACGAGGGGCAACAGGGCAATCTATCAAGCGAACGCATGGATGTCGAATTTCTTTCGCACCGTACGTAGCCAAGGTGCGAGGGAAGGACAACGATCTTCGCACAAAAAAACAGTTCAAAAGAAATGAGCCTTCAATCTAGATTTAAAAGTGCACAGCTCCAGTTGCTTCCGAATTTCAGAAGGAAGAGCGTTCCAGATGGCCGCAGAAGCGCATCTGAAAGCGCGCAATGTGGTGACCATCTTTGTACGATGGTTAGTCAAAAGCCGCTGTGACGATGACCGGAGTTCGCGTGATGGTTTATGCTCCTTGAAAAAATCTGCAAGGTATTGTGGTTCATTTGTGCCAAGCACTTTGTGCACAATGAGTGCGACCTTATAACGTATCCGTTCGGCAAGTGGAAGCCAAACAGAAGCCAACGCAGCTCGTTACCGAACGGACACGGTCGGAGCATAGTGAGACCGTCACGTGACAATGAAAAATAGCGATTGTTAGAGCACGCGTTATATATTTTTTGATTCCTTTGCCAACGTGTTCCGGAAATAAAGTGGCCAACAAAAAGATAACATGGAATGGTTTTTTTTTACAGAATGACCGACGTTTCAAAGCAGCTGACATTACAAATGACGGTGTGGCGAGCCAGACACTTAGCGATAAACTATAAAACAGCCATTGTGAAGACAGCGGCCTGGTTTTCAAAATAGTCTTACATTCAAGTTGTATGTGTAATAGGGTAAATAGATGTTTCCCCAATATTATTTCCACATGTGTCGGTATTTGGGATCAGTTTTATGAAAACTAATATAATTCAAATCTTATTTTTCCAGTCGTTGATCTAGACGGTGGCTTGGTATATTTAGACTGCTTTACAATGCTATCAAACGTTATCTATACTCAACTCGCGTAAAATTTACATGGCATCATACACGCAGTTCTGTACTTATTTGTGTATTACAAATAAATACATGATCAGGTGATCATGATGTTGGGAGACCACAACTCACAACCGGAAAGATGTTGAAATTCTGATTGGTTCTCAACTCTCCCATTACTCTCTGGCCAATGAAATGTGTCCCGCTCTGAGGGACGTCAATAGCAGTTACAAAAGCCGGGCACTGTGCATGAGAGATGGTGTGGCCAGCGCCACACACTTGATCTCCCCAATGCTGATGTTTACGCACCACCCCACATCGTCATTGAAGGCCGAGTCAACCTAAAGGAGGCCCAAAACAAGTCCAGATACTACCTGCCACTCGAGTCAGGCCCGAGGCTGGGAGTCAAATTCAAGCCGACGAGTTTAAAGCACGATGCACTGAACCACTGTGCCACCACCAGCGCACGCAGACACGCTCACACAAATATTTCCGTAGACCCATAACAGACTGGAGGGGCAAGTGCAGTTAGCGGGCAGCACCTATGAAGGCAGGCACGGCACACGAAGGGGTGGGTGGCCAGCACCACGCCCGACCGCCTTCGTATCCCGAGTTGCGATCTTTACGCACCACACCAGGTACTCATTTGAGGCTGAGTCGACCTAAGGGAGGCCCAGGACCAATTCAGATATTAGAACTCGGGTCGCCAGGGTTCGTAGTGCAGCTCGCTAACCGTTGAGCTACTACTGCTCCGCACACGCTCACACAAGATCCCCCGTATCGCCTTTTAACAGACTGCTGGGGCAAGTGCCATTAGGGAGCACTCTCTCTCTCACACACACGCACACGCACGCACGCTCATATACACGACCGAGGCCGGACCTGCGCGCTGCAGGCTCGGACTTCCACGGGCAGCAGATCCACGTGGAGGCACACCACGTAGGCCTGGCCCTGCGCATCGCCCGGCTGCTTGTCGGAGGTGACGGCCAGCGTGGACGTGCAGCCCGCCGGCTCCAGCAGCGACAGAGCGGCGTGGGGCCCGGCGAGCAGTGTGTAGGCGCTCGCGTCGCTCAGGCTCACCGTCCACGGGAAGGCGTTGCCTGTGCGGCACACAGCGACAGAGCACAGGTACGCGGTGGGGGGGGGGGGGAAGAGGGTCAGGCGACTCGATGAGATAGCCATCGCTGTTACCGTCAGCCGTGAGCTATCCACTGCTAGATAAAAACATCCACCCACCACCCCACCAAGCCGTGGTCATCCCTCGCGTTGCCGCGATGTGGCAATCCGTCGAGCACCTGCATACGAGCTGATTCGTTTTCATTAACTATTTTCATGTTACCAGATAAGGCCCACTGAGCTATGTAGCTCTTTTTCAGAAGCGACCTGGCCACAAATGATAGCTCAACGAAGTGGCTTATCGTGTGGACATTAACAGCTGCCAAGTGCTCTAAACGCGCATTGACTTTGATTGTGGAGGGAAAAACCGGGGGACCCTGGAGAAAACCCACATGACCACGGGGAGAGAGACATGCAAACTCGAAATATTCACCAGGCGTCAGGGTCAGGATCGTACCCGCGACCTCCTGTGTACCAGCCGAGGTAATTAACATCTTGCCAAAGTGGTGTATGTCCTCTTGGGCAAGTTCCCTCCTTTGACTGCCACTGATTGCTAAAGTCAACGTGTTTTTGTTATTCAAGTGCACGTTGCCACTACGACGTGTGGATCATAAACATGCACAATCGAGCAAATCAGAGGCAACGTACAAAAAGTGAGCTCAGCAAACAGAAACATCTTGCGGAGGGACACGACCGGAAAACACAGCAGAGCATGCGTACCGAGACAGGGTAATGAAGGCGGCAGGGATACAAAGGGTGAAGTGAACACGTGAATGTGAGCGGATCAGAAGCTGAACTTTTTTGACGAAAGCCAACAAAAAAAAAACAATATCGCGAAAGAAGAGGTGTTTTAATCAGTGAAAATGTCCTGCTTCGATGCACGGAAGGAGCAACGCGGACAACGACAACAACAAACAAGGAACACAAAGGCTGGAAAGTGCAACCAAGAAGCATGGAGCCTTGTACGCTTGGAATTACATCGAGAGGCGGGAAGAGGTGGCACCGCATTCGACGACAGACGAAAGGTAGAGAGGCATCAGGTTGAGTGCTAAGAAAGGCAAGTCAGCTTGGCAGGCAGGACACGCCACTCGAAGGAATGATAGCTGGTCGTCAAAACTAACGTCTGAGTGATAGCCAAAGGGAAGGAGGACACCCCTAGCGGACATCCACTAAGCAGGTGTGGTGGTGAAATCAGCTCGTGTGCAGGTCCTCGACGAATCGCCACATTGCAAGACTGTAAGAGTTGGCCACGGCTTGGGGATATTTTCATCTAGCAGTGGATAGATTGTGACAATGATTAATGAGCACGGGCATAGACGGAAACATGGTTTAGAAACAAACGCATGATTTTTCCCTGGGGCTGTGTGAGTGATCTGGGTGCCCAGGAGTACTGTGGTTTCTTGTACTCACTCACTCCGACAGGGCATGGAACGAATTGTGTCCCAAACTTGTGCATGGATTTATATAACTACATTTGGGTTTGTGTTAAAATAATATTATGATAATAAGTGTTTGTGGTTACACGAAGTTTTGACATGTGCTGGTTTTATGGTTTTAAGAGATGCATATTAACAGAACAAATCGCTACATTAGCATTATAATTACAGTATTGTTATTACACTGGGGTATCGCTTGTAGTCTTGGACAAAACTCAAAAGTGATCAGCAGAACACGATGCCTTTTCTATATGGAAATTATCTAATCACCACTTTAAAATGCCATCGTTAATAATTGTGAGTAAAAAAAAACTACACCGAAGCAGCTTGACCTTTTGGCAAGATATACAACTTCTTTGACTGCTTAAAAGCTATGACTTTTGCCAGCATTCAAAAGGAACGTGACACGTGAAGCATGAACACTGCAAACAAATAACAAACAACCAGGCCAAGTGTAAAAAAAAGAAAAATCACCCAGAAGGGAAACCGTTTGGGTTATATTCCATTGTTGTCACAAACGAAAAGATTAATTCCTCTCTCTCTCTCTCTGGCTCCAAATTAAGTGTGCGCGGAGAAATGTTTCAAGCAATTTTTCTTGCCCGATTTCATAGCGCACTGCGCCAGCGTGCGAGGAGCCAAGCGGTCTAAACTGGGGGGGGGGGGGGGGGGAACCAAACAAATTGACACGGAAAAAGAAGCAATCGGGTGGCACCGTGACGCCGTGCCAAGCAAGGTGCTCGCGTTTCCCAGGTCAGGAGCAACACGCACAAGAATTAATTTGAACTTTGCACCACTGCTATCTGTCTCTGGCAAAACAATTGGCCGAGCCGGCCCGCGTTGGGAGACGTTGCGAACGTGTTTCCTTTCCATTAAAAAAAAAGTCTGATCCTCTCTGGTGACCACCCCTGGCTTGGTTTCGGAGCATTGACTATGATTAAGCATGCTCCCATGTTTCTAATTAGCTCGCATGTTAACCCGGAGTGGGGGGAGCGGGTGGGGGGGGGTTAAAGAGGGGGAGAAAACAATTGAAGCGCATTGGTATTCTAAGAGCGTATCATTCTTACGGCCATGTAACTGCGTGACACAGCTGTGTGTGCAGCAACATGTGAACGCGGTGCTCCAAGGTGGTTAGCCGATGCTCTGGGAATTGCCACCAGCAATATAACACCGTTGCGGAAGTTCTACACCTGTGAAGTATTATTCAGGGACTCACTGCAATTGCGGCTGTCTTGACAATGATTTATGCCCTTTAAAAGTAGTTACCAAGTGATACTTATAATTGTGGGGTGTGAGTAATTTGTTTGGAGACAAAAAAAGAATGTGCTCTTTTGTTTTTCATGTGAACATGTTTAAGTCGCTAAAAAATAAATATAGTGGAATTTCTAGGAACAAGATCATCATCTTACATCCTTACGAGCTACAACATCTGCTTGCAAAAATGTTGCTTTTTTTGGGGTCATATTTGTAAGTTATTATTTTATTTCAAAGTCTCTGGGAAGTTCATGCCGAAGACAAAGCAGAATATAAAGTACATCTTTCGCTCTGAGCACCGAACAGTTTCTTGAACAAATGATCGCTTAAACATCAAAGTGATTTGTAATTTTTTACAGAAATATCCATTCAACAATGCAAATTACATAGAGCCAGTAGGCACCAAAGCATAAAAAACACACCGTACTCTCTGCCACAAGAATACCTTTCAATTTCACTTTTTTATCATTTTCACAATAAAATATTTGCCCTGTGGGTGAATTTCATAAAACATGGTACAATTCGTTTTCCTCGATTATGAATCATTTTTAAAACAGGTCACAGCACCGGAGAAGCACGATGCTGTGACTAAGCAGGTGGGCACGCGAGGAGGCATCTGTGACAGCTTCTTTGACGCCAGTTCCTCAAACAGTGTATTTTGTATTTACACAGCAGTGTGTTGTAATGAAGACAAAAGAGAACCCGAGTTTATACTGTCAACACGGGCCACCCACAAAGAACATAGGAATTTAGGTGCCGGGTGTTTTTTTACTTTCGGGAGGAACGTTGCTGTGCTGCTGGAAGGGTGTGTCCTGTTTCCAGCATCATCGTTGCAAAAAGGTTCCTCTTTGAGCCGCATAGAAGCTGGCGCTGTTAGCGAGCGCCTATTCACGCCGGTACAGCGTAGAAGGCAGTAGTTGCTGCCAACCTCTTTCTACTAATTTCTGACGGTAACAAACCGCGAGGCAAAATAGTCGACGTCAAAATTCCAATTCCCGCTGACCCGCATGGCCAGGAAATTATCGCAGGTCACCCGCGCCCCAGCAGAGTGCGCTAACAACTCTGCCACAACTCCCCAAAAAACTTCACACAGACACATATACACACAAACATGCAGATCTATACACAGATATCCATTCTTTAGGCTTACAGACTTGCTGTTATAGTGAGCACCTATTTTGGCTGAGATAATCTATGACAGAGTGATGTGGCCAGCACCACACCCAGCCACCTTTATTTTCCCAGCGATGATGTTTTTTTCATACCCGACCGGGTGCTATTTATTTTAAGGATACCACAATCTAGACAAGGCCCAAAACCAGTTCAGATATCACTCGCCACTAACATTAGGCTTGGCCAAGAATGGAACGGAGGCTGCCGGATTGATAGCGCACCGCGCTAACTACTGCACCACCACCACCACTCCACCAGCAGCCTTCACCACACCTGGGCAGCCTTTATCTCCCCCGGTTGTTGATGTTTGTGACACAACTACACCGCACGGGGTACTCACATTGAAGGCCGCGTCGATCTATAAACACGACACGCCACCACCGGACAACTCTCACCTTCCTGGTGAATTGGGCGCAAGGCGTCAAAGGGGATCTCTTGCAGCACCGCTGTGTGCTTGTGGCCGGCGCTGATGGCGCGTCCGCGTGGCAGGCACACCACCAGGGTGCCGGGCATCGTGCGGGGCCCCAGGAACCACTCCCGCAACGCACCGGGGATGGCGTTGGGCCACGGCGCCGCTGACACCGACAGGTGATCGCTGGGCACCGTGACACACCACGCCTCCAGGTCCACCTGCAGCGCCGCGGCGGCGAGATGTTAACTCCCTCCCCTGGTATGCAGGAGGTCGTGGGTGTGATCACGACCCTGACGATGCCTGTTGTATATTTGGAGTTTGCGTGTTCTCTCTCTCTCTCCCCCGTGGTCGTGTGGATTTTTCTCCGGGTCCTCTGGTTTTTCCCTTCGCGTTTAGAAAATGTGTGCACAGATTTTTTTGCCCGCTACAAATTTACAATTGATAAGCCACTTCGTTGAGCTATCATTTGTGATAGCCAGGCCGCTTCTGAAAAGGAGCAATATAGCCCAGTGGGCTTTACCTGGTCAAATAAAAACAAATTGTTGAACAATATTCTTGGTTCTTTCGGTAAAGTCACATAGAAGGGAAACAATAAAATAATAAAAATATAAAACAATAAAATTCTCACGACGTTTCGACTGCAACACAAGCAATCATCATCAGGTGTGAAAACCACAACAAGAAAATTTGAAAAGAGTGGCGGTTATTTTTCGTGAGAATTTTATTGTTTTATATTTTTATTATTGTATTCTTTCCCTTCTACGTGACTTAACCGAAAGAACCAAGAATATGAATCCCTGCAGTCACGAAAGCTTTAAATCAAAATGTTGAACAATAGTTTATGGCAGATGTCGTGCAAGTACCCTGGCCCAAGCCAAAACTTTTATTTCCCACGAGCGCAAACAGACAGCAGCAGAACACCACGTTCGGTGTTGAATACTGGACGGTAACCTGGAAGAGTCTACGACCCTACGTGTTTGGTCTAATTCGGTCGGATTTTGGAAGCTAGGAAGGGGGTGGGGGGGGGCGAGCCTGAATAGTGGTCGAATAGATGACTAGCATGCATAACAGGTTGCTATAGGGCAGCAGAGGGCAGCGGAAGCAAAATCCGTTGTACCGTACGTCTATGCTCCGACGCGTCGAGGCCTTTATAAAACCGTCCTGAGCAACAGCGCGGTAAAGTATGGTTAGACAACCGCCATGATCCATTTCGCGTGGGGAGGTACACATTCAGCAGTGGATAGACAAAAAGGCTGTGACGTGTAAAGCAGGAAAATATACAGTATGCTCACATTGTAGGTAATTGCAGAACGTGGGTCATTTCCTGAAATGCTAGCTCAAATATATATTTTTCTCCTGTAAGGCAGTGTTAATGACAAATGGGTGTTTTTGTGTTTTTATATATTTAATCACCCGCCCAGAAACTCCCAAACTCGCTGGGTTGGGAGTCTGGCCAAGGACAATGCAGTGTAGCAAGTGGGTTCATGACCCACATGCACATTTAAGTGTTATCCCGTGGTATGCATGGTGGGTTTTCTCCAGGCACTCTGGTTTCCTCCGTCATTAAAAAGGAACTGGCCAAAGATCCGAAGTACGACCATATTGCAAAATAGGTTTCATCCTAAGCGAGGTTTTCTTCGATGAATAAAGGACATGCGTGTATTGATTTGGCTTGACCGAATCATCCTTTGCAATAATCTTACGGTTTCAAATGATGATGGAACTTGACGTGCGGAGATATTTATACGTTCCTTATGCTACGGGATTATTGAACGTTATGTGAGTTTGTACATTGCGAGATTATTATTTTTTTCCTGTAAGGGGGGTCCCTGCAGTAAAATGTTTCATATCTGGTGCCAACACGAAACGCATAAATGTTTATTTTAAATAAATAAACGCAGTCGAAGCAAAGCGGAGATATTCCACTTTGCAATTCGGCATCGCCGTGCGGTTGAGGCACGGGGGGGGGGGGGGGTGGTTAAAGGGGCTGGCGCAGCTGTACGTGTTAGCGTTGCGTTAATGTGCATCACACTGAACAAACAGTTATTATTTTGTCCAATAAGTCATGTAAAACATATCGCTGCACTCCCCAAAAAAAACACGGCGAGTGGCACTTTGGAGACCTCCTTGCAATGTTCGCCTAGTCCTGTTATAACGCGTGTTTTTAATAATGCTTAAATATGAAGCAACTAAAAAAAAAATCGTATTAATAATATGAAAGGAAAAGAAACAACAATTCCAAAGAGCTGGAAGCCATTTGTTCAGCGTCAACAAGACCATCGTGGTGGTTTATTTTTTCTGCTCCTTTGCGGCTCGAAGCGCCGTCGCTTAGGGCATTCAGTCGCTCAAACGTCGCTCGACAGGAACACGAAGCAGCCAGAATTACGCCTTGGCCCAAACGCAACGCTGGGCCGTTTGAGAAGGGGGAATATGACTTCGTTGACAGCCTTGGGCTACTCTTGTCCACTACGCTGACCCCGGTGGCCTTAGATTGCTACGGAACGCCGTGGGGACATTTAACATCTGCAAACGATATAACGAAAGGAACAATAATTGGTTTATTTGAATATTGGACGATTCTCCATACGCGCCCAAAAAAAGGACAATATCCGGTACTCGTGAGATTCAATGAGGCAATCTTTTGACAAAAATAGGAGTGTGCATGCCAGAATATTCCATACTGTGAATAAAAAATGTAATAACGACAGACCCCATAATGGTAATTATCAAGCAATTGTAATTGCTAATGAGACATTGGGGGGAAGTTGCTTTTTGTCCTCTCAGAGGAACACTGGGCAACTTTCATGATCTCCATACACATATTTGTATTCTCCATTATGGATAAGTTAATCTAATAATGACAACGAACTGACACAATAATAAAGATTAATAACACATTCACGTTAACGCTGCTATTTCTTTATAAGCGTACATTGTAAAAGTTCCACGTTGCTGGGCTTAAGCACAATGCAGGGCGAAACACCTCGGATGAGCACGGCCAGCTTACGAAGCGAAATGCAGGGCGCATTAACTGCAGGTGAGTCCCATATCGCCGTGCTGAAGCTCAATGCACGGTGTGTGTGTGTGTGACAAATGCGGGGTGAGACTCACCTCACTGTGTTAAATGCGGAAGCAGGATGTGCTACTAACCTGCAGGGTGAGCCTCTTGACCCCTTCCCAGAGCTTGCCGATGAAGCCCGTGACCCCGCCGTGCGCTGCCTCCCCTGTGCACACCGCCTCCCGAGCAGGCGGCTTTGCCGGGCCAGGCACAACACGCGACTCTGCCAAACAAAGATAAAGATCCCCCCCCCCCGCCCCCCGTGTAGCAATTAACAGACTGTTGGGGCAAGTGCTGTTAGCGAGGAGCACCGATTAAAGCCGGCATGGCACACGAGGGGGTGGGTGGCCAGCACCACGCCCGGATGCCTTTGTCTCCCTGGTAGGCGATGTTTACACACCGCACCAGGTGCTCATTTGCGGTTGAGTCGACCGAAAGGAAGCCTGGGACCGGTTCAGATAATCGTCACAGGTGTTGGCCGTGAGCAGGAATCGAACTAGGATCACCGGGTTCCTAGTGCAGCACGCTAACCGCTCCCCATACGCGGTACACGCCACTCTACGCACGCACCCGCGCACACAGGCAGAACACAGACACCTGGGTTATTTTTCAGCTTCACGTAACTCGTTCCATCTGCCGAACGAATATCGGAGCACGGCGGTCGGACCACGCTTAGCCTGTCTGGTCGCAAAATTAATAAATCAATTAATTACGTATAACCGGGGCACGCGCTGCTGTGGGAATTGACGGCGGAGACGCGTGGGGAAGCTGTGGAAGCAATCCGGCCAAAGCAACGCCAGACTTCGGAGCAATGATGTGGACACGGCAGCGGGGAGTTGATCATTCAACCGCAGGCCAAAGTCATTTGGCTCGAACTACAGATACGCCGGGTGTTCTCGTGCATGTAAAAGTATCCGAATGTCATGAACCGAGCATAAGAAAACGGGCGTGCAGTCTGCTACAGAGCTGCAGAGCGCTCACTCGGGCTGCGTGTACAATGGCAGGGGGTGGAATGGTGCATTGGTTCGTCAATTAATGTCAAGGCCCCCGCTCATGATAGACGCATCGAATTGCTTATGGAGGGACATATATATTAAAATCTTGACTTAAAGCTTTCGTGACTGCAGGAATTCATATTATTTCGGTAAAGTCACGTAGACAGGTTATTTGAACCTATCAACGAAGTTATCTACATGATAGGTTCAAAGAACCTATCTACGTGACTTTACCGAAAGACCCAAATAATAACATATATATTTCTTAAATTGGTGCATGTTTTATGTAGTGGGTTCACGTCACCTCTGCATCCACGAGACAGACACACCGCCGTTTACCGCAATGTAAAGAAAATAATTAATTATTGGATCGTGATGCTGAGTGGAGACAATTACTGCATTCTCAAAATTATAAAGACACCCTTTTTATTTTTTAGCGCAAGAATTTGGGAGTGTGTCGTTTTTGTCCAGGAGGTGCGGGGTGTGTGACCAGGTTTGGATAACCATATGGACACCGAGCACAAGTTCTGCGTGCCTCTTACTATCTTATGAAGCTGGAGAAAACGGTCGTTGAATTTCCAAGGGAGCGGCGGGGTGGAGGTATCGACGTGTTTGAGGTCCTATCTTAAAACTTATCTGCTTGCAATAGCATAGCCGTCCGCGCAGGCTACATTCCTTTCACATTGTTTTTAAGTATGTTTTTCTCTGTTTTATCTATATTCTTGGTTCTTTTGGTAAAGTCACGTAGAAGGGAAACAATAAAATAATACAAATATAAAACAATCAAATTCTCACGACGTTTCGACTGCAACACAAGCAATCATCATCAGGTGTGAAAACTCACGTCGTGAGAATTTTATTGTTTTATATTTTTTTATTATTTTATTGTTTCCCTTCTACGTGACTTTACCGAAAGAACCAAGAATATGAATCCCTGCAGTCACAAAATAATTAAATCAAAATTCTGTTTTATCTATTAAGGGTATTATTCATCAAGGGTGAGGCCTTGGGTGAAGGGCGCTGTATAAAATTGAGTTTTAGTTGGTTAATCGTTCCACCTCCAGCACATGGGATTAACAACTGTGTGCGGCTTCCACACAACACTCCACGAGTGATTTGTATCGCGATGAGACACTTGGTGACTTCCCCTACACTCAATGGTATGGGCACATGGAATATTGAAATGAAATGAAGAACGTGTTTAATTTGTATGAGTTAGCAACCAAAACTACACTGGTAGCTTTATTTGTGACGTTAAGCAGAAATACAAATGTAGCAGGATTGTACCTGACAACTGGTGCATTAAATAATAAACAGATAATAAAGTATAAATCCTGATAAGTGCATTTACGCAAATAATTTATATGTATCTCTTTAGTCTGCCCAGCAGCAGATCTTTAACTAAAACTTCTTCCACATCCTATCCTATCTTGGGCCCTCCGTCTCCAGATTATTATTATCATTATGCTAAGCATGTTTAAATTAATATTTAATGATATATATACACACACTGCATATACAATTACAGGATATTAAACTGTGTTGTTTCTGAACCAAGTTCATCCGCTAAATCAGTACCGGCCAGAAAAGGATGGACATTTTTGCCATGTTATTTCCACCACTGTCAATCAAGCCGCAATGATATGACCTCCGACTGAAAACATTAGCCAGCAGGCATATACCTGTCCGCGCAGGAACACGTGTCACATCTCTACCTGCCCGGCGACGATCAATAACACACCTGCGGGAACTACGGCGCTAAAAAAAAAAAAAACACGCGTCCTTGAGGAGCACTCAGCGACCGCGCCGCAGAAAATCCCGCGTTGTATAAATAAGCCGCTTCCTGTTGGCGCGAGAGAGAGCGCAGACTGTACACACGTCCTCGGGGGCCATTGCCCGAGTGTCACGCGTGTGCGCCGGGCCCCTCGCCACTCCCCGTCCGCGGCGCACACCGCTCGCGGGAGTCTGCGGCACGGAGCGGCTCGAGTTACGATGCACTCTCAGGAACCACGTTGACGGTTGAGACGCAGACGTCCGGACGGATTGCTCGCGTGATGCCAGACACACACACACACACACCGGGTTTAAAGCCGCACGTGTCGATAACCGACTTTGGGGTAGCGTGACCAAATAAAATGTTTGGCGCTACCACCCCCCCCCCCCCCCCCCCCCCCGTTGGAAAGTTGCGACAATCAAAATGGACACAGCGGTGGATTATAACAGGTCGCACTGATGAGGTCGCACTCATTACACACAAATTAACTGCGACACCTTGCTGAGCTCGTCCATCAGGCAAACTCCGGTCAGCCTCGCAGCGGCTTTTCGCTAACCGTCAAACAAAGACAGTCACAGCATCGCATGCTTTCAGATGCGCTTCTGCAGCCGTCTGGAACGCTCTTCCATCCGATATTAGGAAGTCACTGGAGCGATCCACTTTGACGCCTAGATTGAAAATTCATTTCCTTAGAACTGCTTGTTGTGTTTAGTTTGTTGTCCTTCCCCCACACCTCTGATTCGAATGGTTGGCTACTTACGGTGCAAAGGAAGTTCAACATACATATACACGGAAGGGTAATGCCAGTTAATTATCCAGCAAGTCCTTATAGAATCTTAAGACTCGTTTCAGAAAGGGTCCTACTACATCGGGATATATGTTGATATTATTATTGTTACGTTTGTCTACCCAGGAAAGGCTCACCGAGTCTCAAGACTCTTGTTCAGGAGGATCCTGCCAAGTTTTTCGCAGTAGGGGAGATGTTGCAATGGGTAATCCCAATGCAGTAATGTGCAGGTTATATTTTAAGCATTGGGATGTGTGGCCAATTCCTATTCCATTAAAGAGTATTCCAGAGAATGAATAAATCAGTCGAGCCAAATATAAACACTATATGTTGTAAAAGCCTCATTTAAGACTCAAAAAATCCCTTTAAAAAGTACCCTGATTGGGATGCTTGACCAATTAACTTAATTAATGTTTGACCAATTAATGTTTATTTTTGCATATGGGAGGAATCCTGAGTAGCCACAGAAGACCCTTGCTGGCAGAGTTGACACTCAACACAGCTGTCTCATAGCCACCTCCCAGACCCGTGCCTACAACGCCTGGCAAGCCCTGGGAGTCGCGCATCCAAGTGTTAATGAGGCTCAAATCTGCTTAGCTTTCTGAGAACTGATGAGATCGGGTGGCGGGGAGGGGGGGGGGGAGTGTGGAGTACGCACTGCCGTGAGGATCACACAAGAGCAACGGCGTTTGTCATCTGATTCGGTCCAAGAAGTGTGAGCAGGGTGCGGTGGTTATTAACATTTTCCAATATTCATTTTGATAAATGTCATCACTGAAATGCAATCGCGCGGGGACATTGACCGCTACGGTAATGCCATTCTAGGAAATGCACGTCTGAGAAAATCATTACAGCAGGTGGGTTCGTTGCCTTTACGCCACGTAAACTGTTAACAGAAGTAAATGTTAGGCAAGTGCGAAGCTTGTAACACAGTAGTGCGCTGTATTTCACGAATGCATTTGATTAACTTTTTCGGAGCAATGAAGTCCACGTTTTAAACTTGAACGCAGCATATCAAATTACACGTTAAATTATTATCACAACCGTGTAAAAACAAACTACTTAGCAAAACGACCTTTTTGGCCTGTGCACATTAAAATATCATAATAATCGCACGCAGGATGTGACTATACATAATGCCAGATTAAGCATCTTGCCCACAAACCACAGTGGTGGGGTGGCGTTACACGCAGACAGGGCCATTATTCACAGTGAGAACTTTCGTTCGATCCGTCAGCTTAGGGCCTGGTGTGCACGCAAACATGCATGGTTGCTGTCCGTGGTTTACAAAGGCATTCATCCTTTGTGCAAGTGGTACGTATATACGTAAGGAAAATGAGATACTTTAAACGAATAATTGTACAGTTGATTTTATTGTACACGCTGGCTAGTGTATTAAAACTGGCCTGTGATCAAGCCATCAAGAATGCGCCAAAACCTCAGAAGCTAAGCAGGCTTGTAGCCTGGATTGTACTAAGATCGGTAACCACCATGTACAAGACGATAAGAGATCCCCCACGTGGACTTAGCAGACTTTCTGGGGCAAGTTGCCGCTCACGAAGAGTGTGCGAGCGGTGGTGAGCACACCACGAGGTGTGACGGGGCAATCCATCAAGCGAACGTGCGTATGTTGAACTTCTTTCGCGCCGTACGTAGCTAACCGCGCT